GGGTAGCAGCCGGTGTACATGGCTAGACTTTAGGGCTGCACTCGGAACCTGGCCTGCTGCGCTGGATACATCATGGCGCTGCTCCGATACTGATCCATCTTTAACTCTCTGTCACGCCCGGTGCCGGGACTAAGAATCGTAGACTTTGGAACCTGGTATCATCTGATAGACCGCAGAAATCAGAGTGACCCTCATCACAACGAGCACGGCGGATTGAGCCGGTAAATGTCTGACCGTTATGAAGAGTCACTCATCACGTCAGTCACATGACCGTAAGAAAGAAACAACACTTCGTTTCTTAGATGAAAATATTTAGGAGTCTAGTGGCATTAAGAGATAAGAATGAGTGGTGAGCAGTACACGTGTACCCAGTCCTTACAACAGTGGCGATGAAACACGTCTTAATTGAAGTTCTCTGCTACAATTTTATGTGTCAACATCAGATCCCCGTGTACTTTTGCATTCTACATGAGCTAGATGAGTTGCATCGATTCAAATTACCATCATTGTGCCATTCTTTTCAAATGAGCAAACACTCTGTCTTTGACCCACTGCCGATAGAAAAATGTGAGAAAACAATCCGAAAAAGCAAACGAAAGAGGATTCTCCGAACAAACAGGAGCACCTCCTCATCATGGAGTTGTGACTTACCTGCTTGTTGTGAGGTTCATAGGCACCGTAACCGTTGTACACGAGGCAGCACAGGTCGCCAAGCTGATCGATGAATGCATACCTGCAAACGCATTCGTGATGAAAGGATCCCACAGGAGAAGGGAGGGCCTACAGCTCAGAGATGTCGTAGGTAATGTTCCTCATGCCTACATACAAGATTATGAACATTGATATCACTCACTCGAAGGATCAACATCCTTACCAGGATTCATTTGCTTCAACCTCTGTTCGTACAGCTGGCAAATGCCGTTCATGGCCTCTGAGACACTTTCGAAGTCGCTGAAAGTTCTTGTGCTCTTGCTGGCTGCCAATTTAATCATGACAATGAAGAATTCAAAGTTTCATGGGATCAACAATATCATGTTGTCATCTTGAACAAGAATCAACATACAAAGTGGGTTACATAATACCCAATTTACCCATTCAAAAGGGCGCACACACCTGTTTCCTGCAGAAGAACAATCGTGTGCTTGGGTGTAGCCATGGCGCTGAGTTTGTAAGTTGCTCAGGTAGCAGAGCAGATGTAGAGAAAAAGAGGAAGAGAGGGTCGGGACTGCCGAGGGTTCAGGTCCTGGGAGAGGCGCGGATGGCGGGAAGCAGGCAGGGGGGGTGGGGCAACACGGCAGGTGATGGGTTGTTAGAATGTTTCAATATTGAGGGAGATATTTCAAATCAGTGTTTGTAAAACTTCAATAATAGAGGAAACGCTTTGAGACGATGGAGTTTGACGCCGACCAGGGGGGTGGGGAGGGGCTGATGAGGTGTCTACCATTTTTACAATTTTACATTTTTAAATAATAGTTTTTAATTTAAAATAGTTTTTGCGCTGCCTTAGATTGAAACTCTAATGTCCCAACTAAGTGTAGATTGCTGTCCTTCAAGGTACCAATTTCAATAAAAGAACTGAACACAATAGTAGAAGATCAAGTTGTGGATGTGTATTTGAAATTCCATAAGGCAATTTGAATCTACTTTCAGACCCCTTTCAATGCGCCCGATGGGTGAAGTGCAAGGGCGAGGCGAAAATCATCTGAGGAACGTGGCGGAAGGGGAGGGAGGGAGGGAGGGAAGGAGGGAGGGAGGAAGAGGACCAGATGAAAATTCAGAGCATGAACAGGGTCAGGACGAGGAGGTTCGGACAAGAAGTGGCATTTTTCTGAGGCATGCGAGTCGTGCAGACAAGAATTTTCCTGACCTGTAGTAGGAACAGCAACAGTTTCAAGAAGGGAAGCAAGTTCAAGCGAGTCTATAACAAATGAAGAATATGAGCTGTGATTTCTCATCAAGCTGTAATTTCCCATCAATGGTTCAGGGGAAAGCTGCAAGTCTGAAGAAAAAATCTATATATCCAATGACATGGTAGCAATAGTGGTGGTGAGCCAGTAGGATTAGGTTTGGCTGACAAACATTAGAGAGGAAACATTGAACAGCTGATATCTCCGCAATTTCTTGAAAATCATGTGATTTTATTCCAATTGTCTTTGATCAGACATTGTCCAAACTGAAGCCTTGATAATCCGCTGGACTTTTCCTGCTTTTCCTTCTCTTATTGATATATTGCACGTAGCCTAGCGGGAAATATCGCGCCATGGACCCTCTGACTTGCCAGCCACAACGGATTTTTATTTGGATTTTTCTATACCTCTGCATTGACACAGTCACTGAGCAGTATGCAGCATCATCGCACCAACTCGGTTCAATAGCGGTGATGCGAAACAGCGTTGAAGGGACATGCAGGCTGCGTGGAGGGTTTGATAACCCCAACCCGATCTATCATCATGGAACGACAGACGACGAGTCGGAAAAGGAACAGAACGCAGACGCCCTTGATGAAAAGAAGATCCTTGAATCAGTGCTCAAGCACGTACGGCCCAAACCGGCACCACCGCCTGAGAAGCCGAAAGAGAAAACTGAGTGAGTTGTGACATGTTGTGACGCCGTCATTCATTGGATGCTACAGAGAGGAAGAACAACAAGAAGAGTTTGAAAGGTCCATCCTCGCAAAGATACTTGAACCTGGGGCCCTCTCCCGATGTGAGATGCTTGGTGCACGTGAATGTGAGTATGACATCTGGTCATCGCAGTGGACAACGTCAGGTACTCAAATCCTCAGCTCGCCAAGTCCATCCAGAACAAGCTCTTGTCGATGGCTAGGGAAGGAAGAATCCTTGACAAGGTGAGAACATCTCCGAATCTCCAGCTGCACCTCTGAGAGTTGCTCGCCACTCCAGGTCTCGGAGGACACGATAGTGTCGCAGCTCAAGACTGAAAGCAAGAGGTATTGCTCAGATCGCTTCTTAGCTGTTGCTGAGGCCGAGGGATCAGGGTACACAAGAAGTCTCAGTTCATCTACAAACGCAAGAAGACCCTGCTCGACAACGTAGGCATCACCCCAGAGGAAGCAGAGAGAGTCGGAGTCAACGTCTCAGGTATCTCTCCTCGCCTCCTGCTCCTCCCTATCTCCTTGACCTGCCGCTATTCCCCCTCCGTGCCCTCCAACGCTGCCCCTCGCAGCACACCCCCACCCATCCTCTCGCCACGTCCCTGCATTACTTCCACCATCTGTTTCCTTTGGCTCATCCTCGGGCTCAGATTGGAATATCGAGATGACGGACTCAGTCTCTTCGAGGTGAGTGCTCGGTCCTCGATCGCGCTCTATCTCATCCTCCCCTCTTCAGCCAGCTGCCACTGGATCTCGACGACGATGAGGAGCCAGCCGACGGAGGGATGGAAGACCTTCCTCTTGATGCGTCAAATGACGAATGAGCCCGGGACTGTACAGGCTCCCTGCTCATGCATGACCGCCTCTTCCTTTTCTGCTCTTCCTCCCCTTCGCACTCTGAGGCTCCTTACAGTGAAAACTCTTGCCATGACTTGCATACCTTGTCCTTTTTTGCTCCTACCACACATCCTGTCACATACTCCCTCCCTCCCTCCCTCCCTCCCTCCCTCCCTCCCTCCCTCCCTCCCTCCCTCTTTTCTTCTTTCACCCCATCCATCCCCCGATCTTCTTCATCTTTGTATTTCGGATTCCACTCACTTCAGTGCGCTTTTCATGCAAGACCGATGAAAGTGTGCCCTTGTCCAGGATCGCTGGCTCCTTCTCTTCCCCTTCCTCCAGCTATTCGCCATGATCGCTGGCTCCTTCTCTTCCCCTTCCTCCAGCTATTCGCCATGATCGCTGGCTCCTTCTCTTCCCCTTCCTCCAGCTGCTCGCCATGATTCTTCCCCTTCCTCCAGCTGTTCGCCATGATTCTTCCCTCTCCTCCTCTTCTTCGCCACCCACATCCACCTCGCCTTCCTCGCTCACATCATTTTCGAAACTTCAAAAAAGGCGGGGAGGTGGTGGCAGATGCATATTCAGGGGGTAGGGGTGGTGAGTCGTCGGGGCGTTGGGCATGGCGGGCTTGGAGGGAGTGCGGGGGAAGGAGGCGATGGGGAGGAGGGTGGCGCTAGGGGGGGGGAAGGTGAGGATAGGACGAGGAGCTGAGTGTGAGATCAGCTTGCAGTGGGACGGGATGTCTCGCACGCACGCCGTTATCGAGGGTGTGGGTCAGCCGTCCACCTTCGTCAACAGCGAAGGCGGGAAAATTTTCACCTCCTTCAGGATCCGAGACTGCGGGAGCTCCAACGGAGTCTTCGTGAACCAGGTGAAGGTGTCAGAGTGCCTGCTAAGAGACGGGGACGAGATCGGGTTCGGACGAGGCGCCTCGTTGCAGGAAGGGGAGGCCATACATAGCCGTCATGTCGAGTATGCGTTCCTGTTCCGGACGTTGAAGCTCCATGGCACGCCGGGAGGCTCTCGGGAGGGGCCAGCTGAAGCGTCCAAGGACGGGAGGATGTGCCCTCCCTGCAGATCCTTCCTCTACCCGCCCACTGCATGGGCTGATAAGAAGGACCTCCGGGAGTTTGCCAGGCCACCGCCAGCAGATTTGGAGCTGGACTGGGTGCATGGGTACCGGAGCGCAAGGCAGATCCTAGAGCCTAAGTCAGAGGCGAAGAAGGCAGGGCGATGCCTCCACCTCAACAACGCCAAGTTCCTCTCCCCCTCCTCCATCGCCTACCCGGCTTCCCGCTATGTTGTCATCTTCGACGTTGTCGAACGAACGCAGCGGTACTTCAAGGAGCACGACAACGACTGCGTCAGCCTCGCTGTTGCCGCCTCCAAGACCGTCGCTGCGTCTGGGCAGCTCGCGAGCTTCGAGGAGAGGAGCCCTCCTATCTACGTGTGGGACGTGTCCTCCTGCTCCGTACTGACCAAGTTGCGGGGCTTCCACAGGAACGCAGTGACTGCGCTTGCGTTCAGCCCGACGGAGCAGTTCCTGGCCTCGATAGGAGGAGACGACATGCACTCTCTGGCGGTGTACGACTGGGAGAAGAAGCAGCTGCTGTTCAGCGGCAACGGCTACGTGGAGGAAGTGTACGCCGTAGCCTTCAGCCCGTTCAATCTGGACGAGATCCTTCAGGTCGGGAACAAGCACATCAAGTTCTGGAGCCTCGAGGCCGAGAAGTCTGTCATGGCGACGTTCCGACAGGAGAAGAACGCCAAGGAAGGGCAGAAACGGACTGAACCCCAGCTCGTCGCCTGCTGTGCGTACACCGCTGAAGGGATGGCGATCTGCGGGCTAGAGGAGGGCCATATCGCCATGTACAGCAGGACCAAGACCGGGAGGAACGAGTGCGTCGACCGCATCGACAACGCGCACGCAGCTCCTGTGCTTGCTCTGTGCGCGATGCAGAACGGGATCATCTCGTCTGGACGGGACGGCTACGTGAAGGTGAGAAAAGTTGAGGAGGCGGGGACGGAAGAAGGGGGAGGAGGAGAGCAAGGGGAGAGGGGAGGAGAGAAAGAGCTGATGCTGTTCCGGCAAGGTGTGGGCACCTCCATCGACGATCACGGGGAGGAAGGAGGGCGGCAAGTCACGGGAGGGGACAAGGAGGAGCACAAGGGAGACGATGACGACGAAACTCAAGGTTGACGTGAAGGGAGTCTTCCTCGGGGGGGCGCAGAGCACGACGGTGGTCACCAGCCTCGACTATCTCAAGGGGAACATCCTGTGCGGCTCCTCCTCCGGACAGATCTTCCTCATCGCCCTCAAGGACGGGTCCATCCAGCAGCTCGTGTCCACTCACTTCGCAGGCGTGACGGCGGTGGACGTCAGCCCCTACGGGGACTCCTACTACCTGACCGTGTCGGAGGACAAGACGATCAAGAGGTGGGACGTACATAGCAGGGAGCTCCAGCTCTCTGTCTACGTCGGCCTGCAGTGCACCAGCGTCTCCATCCATCCGTCGGAGTCGCTCTACGCGCTGGGTCACCGTCATGGCAACTTCACCGTCTGGGACGTGCCGCCGCTGCCGCAGGCCCCTCGCTGCCTCCTCAAGTCTTCACAGAGGAAGGAGGATGTGACGCAGGTACGCTTCTCCCCGGACGGTCGCTACCTCGCCGTCGCCAGCCGAGAGCAAGTCATCGACCTTTACAGCGTCGAGAGCGACTTCCGGCACGTGGGGACCTGCCGGGGGCACTCAGGAGCCGTCCAGCACGTGGACTTTTCCGCTGACTCTCGCTGGCTCCGTTCCTCGTGCACTGCTGCGGAGCTTCTCTTCTGGGAAGTTCCAAGCTGCCGCCCCCAGGGACGCTCCTCCCTTCTCCGCGACGTCCCTTGGCACACCCGAACCGTCGTCTTCGACTGGTCCCTGTCCTCCATCTGGCCTCCTGCTGCCCTCGTCTCCAGCATCGACTCTGTCAACGTCAGCAACGATCTTCTGCTCTGCGCGTCCGGCAACGACCGAGGCGAGGTGAAACTGTACCCCTTCCCGGCCATCGGCGACATGCAGGAGACGCAGCGCAACTGCAAGAGGCTTCTCCTCCACAGCTCGCACGTCCATGGCGTCGCCTTCACCAACGAGGACGGCTGGCTCATCTCCGTCTCCTCCGATGGGTCGGCGGCTCAGTGGCGCGTGAAGCGGGAGGGGAGCAACAGCGGCAGCAACAGGCGGGCGATTGTGTCGGAGTGGCACGAGGACGGAGGGATCAGGCAGCGGGAGATCTCGCGGCCCCCGAGGATGGGAACCTTCGCCAACCCGCACAGCCGGCACGTGTGAGGGCGGCAGCTACAGTTCGACCTCTTCATCTACACTTAATACCAATTTCCCAGCTCCTCCCCGTCGCTGTTGTTGGACACCAGCAGCCCTCCGACTGAGCTCGCGTCTTCATCCAGCCAGTCTTCGTCCCCGAGGTCCTGCGACTGAGTGTCGCTGGCTGGGGGCACAAACGTCCCCACGTCCTCCGGCAGCAGCAGCGTCCCTCGCATCCCTCCGTCGCTCTCGCTCCCTCCTAGGTCGACCATGAAGCTGTCCGCAAACTTCTGCGCATTGGTGCTCAGCCCTGCCTCCAACTGCCCCTCCCCTGTCATCGGTTTCATCACGTCGCTGACACCTGCTGACCGTGGCCTCTCGGACATCGGGGTTGACCCAGGCCCTGTTGCTCTCCCTGCTCCCACCATCTCCCCTCCTCCAGAGATCCTGCTGGGGTCCCTCCACGTGCCATCCCGCGAACTTCCGCCCTGTTCGCTGGGAGGACGATGAGCCCAACCTCCTCGTCCTCCTCTAGCCCCCTGCATGCTGATGGGATTTGCGGTTTTCACTGGGAGCATTCTAATCCCCTGCTGTATCCTCTCTTGTTGTATCCTCACGTCTTGTATCCTCTCCTGTTGTATCCTCTCCTGTTGCATCCTCTCTTGTTGTATCCGTTCCTGTTGTATCCTCTCTTGTTGTATCCTCTCTTGTTGTATCCTCTCTTGTTGTATCCTCTCCTGTTGTATCCTCACGTCTTGTATCCTCTCTTGTTGTATCCTCTCTTGTTGTATCCTCTCTTGTTGTATCCTCTCTTGTTGTATCCTCTCCTGTTGTATCCTCTCCTGTTGTATCCTCTCCTGTTGTATCCTCTCTTGTTGTATCCTCTCCTGTTGTATCCGTTCCTGTTGTATCCCCGCCTGCTGAGCAACTGCTGGTACCCTTGGGGGCATGAACTCAGCCTGCCTGGCTCTCGCTTGCCCCAGCTGTTCAACCTTCACAGGGTACCCAGCCGGAGGGTCGCTCATGATTCTATCCTCCAGGCTCTTACTCCGCATGTCCAACTTCATGCCCTGCAGGAAACCCTGATGCACTTCGCGCTGCCTCCCCATCCAGCCCTCTCCTCCCCTCATCATCTGCCCACCGTCCATCGGACCAGGCGAGAACTGCCCGCCTCCCATTTGACCGCTCCATGCCGCCTGGAGCATGCAAAGTCACACCGTGGAACAGCAGGGAGGAGGAAACATGTAAGAAGTAGAGGGCGGAGGGCGGAAAAGTAGAGGATACAAGACGACAAAGAAGAGATGAGGACGAGGAAGGGAGTGCTCACGAGCTTCTGCGGGGGATAGGCTCTTCGCATGGATGCATCCATGTACATCTCTCCCATCTGCCCAGCAGGGAAGACGCCACCAGGTTCAACGTACATGCCTCCCATCCGTCCAGCTTCGTTGGGGAATCCATCCATACTCTCATAGTACCCAGCCTGCCGCGCAGGAGGCATGCTTGCCCCGAAGAATTTTCTCTCCTGACTTGGAAGCGCTGCCAAGAATCATCACTCCTGCTCCTGCTCCTGCTCCTGCTCATCTTCCTCCTCCCTTCCTTCTCCTCCTTCCCCATCCGTCTCCGCCCCTCTTCTCTCTTACCTCGGAACATGTTTGACGGCATAGATGCATTGGTCCTGTTGACTGCACCCTGTGGTCCTGAATTTTGCACTTGACCACCAGCCTGCGCGGGGCAAACAGTCATGACCTTCCAGCTGCTGTTGACGTCACCTGATGCGCAGGATAGTCAACGAGATGGTTCTGCTCGTCCTCCAGCTCCTGCAGGCCTCGTGAGTCGAGTCAGGCGCGCCTCCCCTCCGAAACCTGTGCCGACTTGCATTGCTCGGCCATGATGCGATGCACTAGCATGATCGTCGCGTACTTGGCCTGGCACTCGGCGTCAACGAGGAGGAGAAGGACGAGGACGAGGACGAGGACGAGGACGAGGACGAGGAGAACTTCACCTGCTGGAGGGAGGCGAAACGAAGGCGCTGATTCACACAGATCGAAACAAACTCGTGGCTGTCCAATCAGTCAGCTTCGAGATCTCAAAGGCTACCCTGCACTTACCGATCGGACGCGACTGAGCTGGCAAGGAGAGGAGCAATGTCGGGAGAGCGGTTGACCTAGCGCAACATGAGGAGCCTGAGACACACAGCCTGTCTACCTCACCTTCGCCCCAGCAGGGAGCAGGTGGATGAGGAAGAACCTCTCCTGCAGCTGCTGCACTCTCTGCTGACCATGTCAGTCGACGAGGAACGGAGGCCGCACACTCGCCTCCATCAGCTTTGCCGTCTGCTGGTCCAGAGCCCGCAAGTCAGCATTCTGAAAAGCTGCAAGCAGGTCAGCCAGGGGGGCAGGAGCTGATGGTGTCGTACCGATCTCTGCCGCCATCTCCGCAGGGTCCAAGAGAGAGAGCGGAAAGTTACTCATCTGACCCGCCTGGAAAAAGAGGATTGAGCCTTTGCCTTCAAAGAAACGCCAAACCTGTCCAGCTTCGAATGACGCGATGATCCGTGCTTGCATGGCACTTTGTAGAAGGCGATGATACCTGCCAGTCAAGAATGAGTTTCAACAGGAAAACACGTTGGTCAGGCAAGAAGAGATGAGGCCAGTACCAATGTGAGAGATGGAGAGACGCTCGGAGCCTCACGGCCAGACTTCGACTGGCAAAGATGTGGCTGTAGTAGGGATGACATCTTTGCTGTGAAAGTTGGAAATCAACCTGTTCTCTTCGGTGGGAGGAGGAACACGCATGTGCGCGTACTGGAAGCCCCTGGAAAACGAATCAAGTGAGCAATCGACAAGAAGCAGCTTGTAGGGGCGATGAGAGATAGAGTATGATAATAAGGGGAGAGGCGAATCGTTACATGTTGCGGACATAATCGAAATATCCCAAGACTATCGCAGAGAGCAATGCCTGCAGCGCGAGAACCAGCTCGTTGAGAGACAAGGCTGCTTACATCCCACATCACTACCTGTCGTTCCTCCCCTTTTTCGGATCCATACAAAGGAACACTATCCACACACTAACAACCAACAACTCAGTTTCCCGTAGTGTCTCTCACAAACTGATTTCACCTCGATGTATATTCTCCCCGAATGCTCTGGAGCACAACCCGGCCTGCGGCGGATTCAACAGAATGTCAGAACTGATCACTTGTCCCTCCCCTGTCGACTTTTTGACTCTTTTCATGCTCGTCTCTTTCCTCCCTCCTCTCTCGCCTACCCGTACTCGTGGACGTACATCCCGAAGCACAAGACCATGTGGGGGCCTGCCCAGCAACACGCGATGACATACACGATGTCGAGCAAGAGAGACGGACCTGAATCCACGAGCTGGAAGGCAAAGATCGCCTTACATCGAAATGGCAGTCCTGACTGCCGCTCCACGTCGCCTTGGGACCGAAACTGAGGGACCGAAAGCATGCCCCAGCTTCTCTCACCTTTGTTCGTCCGCAGGTTTCGCTGCCGCAGGACATCTCAAGGTTCCCATCAGTCACAAACGGCAGAATGGTGGCCCAGCAGATACCCGCAACAACTTTGATCAGGATGGGACGGGAGCAGATGGCTCGCTGGCATTCATGTCATGACGCTCCATTGATGGTTCACCTTTTCCTCTCACCGCTTTTTGCGTTAGAAAAGATCCTAACGGCGTGTCCATTAAGTACTCAGCAGTCGTGTACTGCAAGAACATCAACCAACTTTAGGTCGAGATCTCATGAGCACCTGCGAGAAGGGACCGAGCTGCCTGCCCAACTGGCAAGGTGTTACTTCAGTTTTGACAATCAAACGAAGGGACAGGATACCTGTCTACTCAGAATTGTCAAGTCCTCGTCGCTCAAATCTTTTTCATCCATCTGCAAGGCAATTGAGAATTTACTCGGTCCACGTTAGCAACAATCTCATACCTGTAAGCTATCAGGCATCACATTCGAACGTGGTGTAGTTGTTGATCCAACACCATCTATTGCATTTGTTTGTGAGAGAACTTTTTTCTTTGCTTTGTGTGCCGCCAAGGTCTCCAAAACCTTGCTTGCATTCTGATTGCCATAAACGGTCATCCCATCGGATCCAGTCATGTCTCTGTTCTGTGCCTCTTTGGACGGGAGCGATCGTTCTTCCTTCAGCAGGCTGCTGCTGATCATGGCTTCGATGAGGAGAGTATGTCAAAGGAACAACGATACTGTGCTGATCTACAAAAGTCTTAATCACTTCTCCGAATCCCTCGGCTGAAAGTTTGTTCTCGACGTACTGCCTCACGCTGTAAATGAATTGACGATATGCAGAAATGGGCAGACGACGAACGAACTCGTAGAGCACCACTTGCAAGTAGTTGCATATCTTCTTTGAGTTCTTTCCATCAATGCACTCAAGTTGGCGCCTCTTGATTTCTTGCAGCCTCTTTTGATGTTGAATAAGGTCTGTTTCAGTCTCCTTCTCATCACAAAGCTCATGAGTGGGTGGTAGAGGTTCGACGTCCATGTCCTCCATCCCCTCCTGCAAATCATTCTCTTGCCCAATCCTACCATCACTGCTCTGATCTGCTGATGAACCCTCAGGCTGTCCTCCACCTTCGTTGAAAAGTTTGTTCAGGATGCTGCTATGTGCGGCTATGCTCTGGAGGAATGAAATGAATTCTGCCGTTGGAAACTTATTCTCCTGAGAAAGATTCAGGGAGGTCAAGGGAGGAGGAGCCCACCTTCCAGCAGCTCAGACATGTCTCTGTCGCAAGTCGTGCCCCCGTCGGGAGCTCCTGAAGAACCTGGCAGACTCGTTAAAACAGTCTACATGGAGCAGCCGCGAGCAACCTCCCGAAGGATCTCGTCAGTCAAGGGATGAGGCAAAGCTTGATTGCTCATAGACTGAGCTGGCTCTGTCATTCTGCTCAAGTGAGCTTGTCTTGAAGCGCTGTCATCCGCATGTGGTGCAAAACCTGCTCATTCGCTCAGCTGGTCAAAGGGGGCTGGTCACCCCCTTTGACGGTCAGATGCCTCATCAGATGGTTGTTCACTCATCAGTTGTGACTCATCAGTTGATGAGTCATCAACCATCCTAAACCAAACCATATGACACTACAGGCATGTGCCGAGGACAACCTTGTCTCAATGCTGATGCGCTCTCTCGCTAATACCCACTGAACCAAAACCTCTCCAACGACAGCAGTTCAAAAAACCTTGTTCCCGTGCTCACAATGATCATGGCATCACGTCAGACAAATCTGTTCCTCGCTGCAACAACTCAAACGTGATTTTTCTCTGCAGCCCCTTCCCATCATGCGTCGGAATGGTAGTGGATATATGCTGCGCTGAAGTGCCACTGGACAGCTAGTTCAACAAGAAGGCTCGCTTCTCGAGTGCATCCTTCCTCTCTCTCTTGGCAGTTGCTAGTAAAACCTTTCTTACTTCTTCAGATGTGTGTGTCTCATACGATCCCTGCCGCTTCCTGCCCCCATCATCACCTTTCCGTCGCGAGGTCGTATCTCGCTCGCCTCCGTACCCTTTCCGATATCCCCTCTACCCTGCCCTCCTTGCTCTTCTCTTCTCTCCTCCCTCCTCCTCCTCTCATCGTCTACTTTCCTGCTCTGCTCTGCTCTGCTCTGCTCTGCTCTGCTCTCCCTCCTGTCCTCCTCCCGTCTCCTCCTCCCCGCCCCTCCGGCCTCAACGCCGCCAATCCAGCATGAAGGCCCGTTGACCCCTACCCTGTTACCACCTCCCCATTCTGCTTTTCAACTATGTACCCTACCCTTCGATTTCTACCATTACAATGCAGTTTAACAGGTCTTTACAACCCCTATGTTTACTACCCACCCCACTTTACTTGCCCCATCGCTGTGTACCCCTGACGAGGGGGTAAACGAGGACTTATCCTACCACCTGACCCAGTCTATCCACCCTACCCTTCCAGAGAAAAATTCACTACCCACCCCCAGATTTCACGACCACCCTACCTTGTGAATGAACAGAACACACCAGGTACCCCTCCAGTTACCAAAACACAAAAACCTTCTTGATGACCCCTCCCGTACGGATTTCCCACATTACCCCTACCCCCTTAAATACCCTTCTATCTCGGTAGTTGCTCACCACCCCTCCCATTGTCCATTTGGCCTCCACCTCGACCTCCAGCCATGTTCACTATTGACGCAAACGTTTCTTTCCCCCTTCCTCCTCCTCCTCCCACCGCCGCCCCTCCTTCTTCCCTTCCCCCTCCTCGCTTACCCCTCCCCCTCCTCTTCTCCCCTCTCCTCCTCTCCTCTTCGTATCCCCCCTCCTATCCCCTTCCTATCCCCCTCCTATCACCATCTTCGCCCTCCTCCTCTCCTCCTCGTCTCTTCTTCTCCTCCTCTACTTCTCTACTCCTCTATCCTCCTGATATCATCTTTGCCTACTCCTCTACTCCTCTACTCCTCTACTCCTCCTCGTGTTCCTGCGCTCCTCGATTTCTTCCTGTCGTCTGTTCCGCTCTCGTCTGTTTGCTTCGAGTTTTTCCTGTTTGTCTCCTCTCAACAACACTGCAACACATGCTTTATCAGCAGTCCATGATCCTGAGAACCATCCCGCAGCTACCCATATTCCTCATTTTCGCTTCATGGTTGCAATAATGATGTTACCATTTTCAATGCTGGTGTTTTCGTTTTCGACATGTGATTTCTCTCCAAATTGATGTTATTGGGGTAGCCGTGGTCTTCTAAGAAATATTTGCTGTGTTAGCTCGGTGACTTGTTTTGCACAGGGATAGAGGAAGGGTTTGGAAGTTGTGTTCGTCGGCGGCAGATTGAAAGTTTTCCTAGCTGCAACCAGGATAGAAGGATGAAGAACAATTTCTTGGTTGTCCTGCTGTGGGTGTCCTTCATTGAGAGCTCTGGATTCTTGTTCGCTCCCGTGTCTTTGAGGCATGAGCAGACCATACTGCCGACTGAGCCTTCCTGCCCTCCATGCTCTGTGAGGAGGAGAGGATTCGCCTCGGTGAGAAACAGCATTTTGTTGTTCAGCTGCGACGTCACAATGATGATCTTGGTGGTAGGTGGCGAGGAGCAGGTTGAAAGCGGCAACAGAGCTCAGGTCGACGGAGGGCAGCGAGCACAAGTCATCTCCTCCTTTCAGCGTTCGAGTCTTGCAGCCAGAGGATCTGACGACGTTGGTGAACAAGGACGGAGTGCTACCGAATCTCCTCGAGCCAGTTTCGCACTTCTGCTCCCAGGTGACCGGGGGATTTGCGTGCAGAGACGGGGCTGAGTGTTGATGAGCAGATGCTCTATGGGTCCGATGCCCTCCACTACTCCGTGCTGGTGGACTTTCAGAGGAGTGAGTTGCATGAAGCTGCTGTTGCGCTGCTGACTGTACCAAGGGTACGGGATGAACAGGAGGAGCCGGGGGACGTTCCTCATAGCGACCACTCGTGTCGTATCGCTAGAGGAGGGGAGCTGTACGCCCAGTCTACAGCAGGCAGGAAAGGAGGGCGAGGGAGAGGGCGAGGGCGAAGACGAGCAGGGAGCGAAGAAGAAGCATTTCGACGCTAGCAAGGGCATCGAGCTGGGGGGTGGCGAGCTGCTGATAGGATGTGCGGGGCTTGAAGTCTTGCCGCTGTTTGCCAACGGAGCGTATGCTCCTATATCGGGGGTGAGGACTGGTCCTGGTTACGAGAAGGAGCTGGAGGAGCTGCTGTACAGACCGCTGCTGTCCAACCTGGCTGTAGCGCAGGAGCACCGGGGGAAGGGAGTGGGGAAGGAGCTGATCAGGGAGTGCGAGGCTGAGGTGGTAAGGATGGGGTTCACGGAGCTGCTGCTCAAGGTGGACCATACCAACGAAGGGGCGTACAGGCTCTACCGAAGGCTCGGGTATGAGGAGATGGAAGCGAACAGGTTGCAGGAGGACAAGTTCGTTGCGACGGAGGAGGGGGGGAAGTGGGAGAAGACGATTAACATTTCACTTAGGAAGTACCTTGGGGGGATCTAGGTGTTAACGGGAAAGAATATGACTCTCAATGCTGCACAGTATGTGCTGGAGCAGAGTCCCCTTGTGTTGCGAAAACCTTGCGATACCTGAACGTGCGACGGTGAGGAAAGACGAGAAGCTGACAAGTGACAGCGATGATGGAAATTGTAAGAAAGAGGTAGAAGGCTAGACCAAGAGGGAGGGAGGGAGGGAGGGAGGGAGGGAGGGGAGAAGAACAAGATGAGGGTATGAGCTCACGAGTAGTACAAAACTCCGGCTCCTCCAGTCCTCATGCTGCGAGTCGCAGCTCCATACCAAAGACTGGAAGATGGTGAGGAGCAGGTGAGGCAGGGCAGGTTCTTCACCGGTTGATGCCCGGCAGAGCTCCTCGCTGAAACATCTCCTGCAGCACGTGAAGCATCCTCTGCCCCCTGCCAGGACATGAGATAGGAAGAGAGAGAAGAGGAGGAGGAGCTGCAGATAGCGAGAGCTCACTGATGGTGGAAGGAAAAACGAAAGAAGAGGAAGAGAAGGAGGGAGGAACGAGAACGAACCTGTTTGCCTCACTCTTCATCAACGCATTGAGGGTCTGGAAGGGAGCAGTGACCAACCCTGCAGAGGTTCCGATCTGCCAGGAGAAACACTCAATCCAGGAGGAGCGCCGCAGGGGGGGAGTGCGTGGAAGAAGCACCAGGAAGGCCCCGAAGCCTCCGAAGATGGAGGCGTGTCGCTCCATCTTGAACGCATGGATCTCCCGCTCAACCAGCTTGGTGACCTGCGGGTTCGCCACGGTGATGGCGAAGACGTAGACTGCTGACGTGTCAGGGGGGAAGAGGTCTGTTTCATCCCTCCGACCGAACTCGCGGAGGAAGAGAGGAGTCACTCCGCCGTACAAGGCGCGAAGACCGTGCGTCTTCGTGTAGCTGGTGGATGGAAGTCAAGGGGCGAGAGGAGGAGAGGAGGAACTGGGAAAGAGCGACAGGGCGAGGGCGAGGGTGAGCAGGAAGGAGGGAGGAGGCAGGGACCTATAGATCTCAAGCATCGGACGAAAGGCAGGGAAGCGTTTGGCAGCAGAAGATGACTCTGAGGAACAGTCAGAGCGCGATGAGAGGAACATATGACTGCAAGTTCCTATTGCCCTTGTTTCCAGCAGCTGATCCATGACCTGCCTTTGACTGTCAGCGTGAGAAAACAGCAAAGACAAGGATAGACGTTGAAGGGACTGAGAATGAGACAAGTCAACCATAGCTGGCATGCATGATCAGGGATCTTTCATATGAAAACTCCATCACCAGAACACGTGGGAGAATCGTTCATCATCTCCCGACGATTCTCCCGCACAACAACCCACCATCTTCTTCTCGATCGGCTGCAACCCAAAGAACGTAATCACTCCCGACGTCGCTGCCGCTGCCGCAACCTGGCAGGTCATACTATCCTCCTCCATCCCCAGCATCCTCGTCGTTGTCCTCCTCACTCCGTTGCTCAAGGTCTCAACCCCAATCGAGTACGGGATCAGCAAAGTCCCTGCTGTCCAACCCCCCGCCCACAGGCGCCCTTGAGCCAGCGCTGTTCTCATGGGCATGCCTGCTTCTCTCCGTGTCGCCAGAACAGCAAGTGGATACACCAGAGCAACGTCGGTGACTCCGACTGCTGCTCCGACCTTGGCGTCTATCCACCACGTCATGGCTAGGATGGACCACAGCTACCCCCTGCACGGGAGAGATCGGGTCAGCGCAGAGGAAGTTGTGAGATGGGCTGGAAATGACAGGCAAAAGGCAAGATAGCACTCAAACAGGCTGAGAGATGGGCTGGTCAAGGAAGAGGACGATGGGGAGGGAAAGAGAAGAACGGAGGCCGAGGCTCTCGAACAGCATTTACTGGAATCAGAGGGAGGTGCGAAGATCATGGAGGGCAACCCACGGAGAGGATTTCAAGAGTGAGAACAAGCACAAGAAAAGAAAAGAGAAAATGATCAAGGGATGGGGGGGATGGGGACGAAGATACGCGAAGAGGGAGCGGAAAGAGAACTTGCTCATCGAGGAAGATTGAGGTATAGACGAGCTAGAAACGAGAAGAGGAAGAGGCAGGATGAGATAAAGAAGAATGAGAAGTAGGAACAGGGGAAGAGAGGAAGGAGGGATGCGGAGAAGGGAGGCCGTGAGCGGGGAAGATCCTTGATATGAGAGCATGGCAAGCGATTCATCATTTGTGGGGAATTTCGGACGTTACAGCATAACGGTTGTCCAGCTCTTAGGGGGCGGGCCCGGACTCCCCGGCCGCCGCGGCCATGCCCGGGCCCCGGCCGCCGCCGCCGGGGCCCAGTGCCTCTCCAACCGGGTGACAAAAAAGTCACGGTCAACGTGCCACGGTGTATAGTAGTATTATGAGGCTCAGACATGATCAACTCAATTCAGTGACCGTGACCGGGTCACGGTCAGTACTCGCGGCGCCATCATCCGGGTCATACCGGCGGCGGGCCGCGGCCGGAAACCGTATTACGGTACCGTAGGCTGCTGACGGTGATACCAGCGGCAGTGACGGCGGCGGTGCTGTACGTGACCGTGACTGTCAGGAGTGATTACAAGGGACGCCCGCGGCCGGGGCGCCCGGGGCACCCGGCCGTCACTGATCGGATCGCTGGATCCGGATTCAGAGCGACCCGGCCCGGCCCGGGCCCGGGCCCGGGCCACCGGGCCCCGCCCTTGCACGCCAATGCCGATTTTTCAAAAACATTTACGAACGTTTTGTAAAATGCATGCAAGAGTGCTGAGCGAAGGATACATGAGGCCGGAGGAAGCATGGAGAAGAGGAGAAGGGAGAGGGAGGAGGGGGAAGGAAGGAGGAGGAGGGAAGGAGGAGGAGGAGAGAGCAGGGAGGGTGGAGGGGGGATTGCAGTGCAAGAAATTCACTCGGCATCGTATGAGCACCGTGAGAAGTTGTGGGGATAAGACTGAAAGAAATCAAGGTTGTATAGCGAACAATGAAGAGTCTGACAGGAAGGATGTGTATGTGTGAGAGCAGAAGATGTCAAATGATATGTCAGATCATTGAAACTAAGAGACGATTCTTCCGCACGTTTCTGATTTGATGATGTTGCCAACAGACAAGGGATGGTCAGGCTGGATTGTTGATCAGAAAGATCGGCAACATTTTCTCTTCCTGTGAACACGAACAACTTCAAACAGTCTCAACCTCATCGCGATGAATTTCCACCTGACCCCTCGTGACTCTCCCATCAACTCCCTCAAGCGACATGCCGCAAGCCCAGCTCACACGCCGGGCAAGGGGACTCCGAGGAAGCGACCGTGCGTGGGAGCAAGAGCGAATGCGGAGCAGCAGGTGGAGTGTTGCGTCAAGGTATACGTGAGGACGAGACCTCCTTCTACCATCAACGGCACCTCCTGCGTAGAGGTCCGATCAGACCTGTCCACCATCCATGTGGTAGGTGCGCCGGTAGTGACGGGCCCGCTGCTGACCTCCTGTCTTCCAGCATCCTCCGCCGAGCAACAAGGGACCTCCGAAGCAGAACACAAGCACCGACGAGTTCTTCTTCGACAGCGGAGTGCTCGATCCTCAGGTCTCCCAGCATGACATGTTCGAAGCTGTCGGGAGGTACTCCTGCTTCCCTAACCCACTCCTCCTCTTCTCTCCTCCCCTCCCCTCTCCTCCTCCCCTCCCCTCTCCTCCTCCCCTCCCCTCCCCTCTCCTCTCCTCCCCTCTCCTCTCCTCCCCTCTGTCCGCACACTCAGGGAGTTTGTCAGGCCGGCAGCCGATTCCGTGATGGAAGGATTCAACGTGACCATCTTTGTAAGTCACAGGGAGACAGGAAAGAAAGATGTAGATGATGATATGGAGGAGGAGGAGATGGAGAGGAGGAGGAGGAGGAGGAGGATGAAGGTGCTAACGAGAGGAAAAGGCATACGGACAGACTGGAAGTGGCAAGACTCATACTATCTACGGCTACTGCAGCTCCGGCAGCAACGTCGCAGACATCAATGCAGATACCACAGGACTGAGCGGTGAAGGAGGAGGAGGAGGAGGAGGGGTGTCAGGTTTGACGTGCTGGACTAGGTCGTATCATGGACTACATAGTAACAACATGCGGAGAGAAGAAGGAAGAGAAGGTGAATATATAACTGCGACTCCTCCTCCTCCCTTTTTCCACCACTACCACCAGCAGCAGCATCTCCTCCTCTTCCTCCTTGATTCAGCTGCAGGTCAAGTATCGCTACAGTCTGAGCATGCTTGATATCTACGACGAGAAAGTCACCGACCTCTTCGACCCTCCTCACGAGAAGAAGGTAAACTAACATTCCTCCTCCTCCTCTTCGTCGTCTCCATGATCTCCTCCTCCTCCTCCTTCTCCTCCCCCTCCCCCTCCTCCTTCTCCTCCTTCTCCCTCCTCTCCGACCCCTGTTTCCTCCTCCTTCCTCGCTCATCGACTTGTCAGGTGCGAGAAGGAGCCAACGGCACCTACGTCGAAGGAAGCAAGTGGAAGTCCGTGCTCAGTGGCCCGCAGGTCAGAGGAGAGGAAGGAGGAGGAGGAGGAGGGGGAGGAGGAGGAATTTGGGAGGGGGGGCACAAGAGCAGGAAGTTACAAGCAGTCGAAGTGAGATTGCTGAGCAGGCACAAGCCCGACTCCAAGAAGCTCTCCAGGGCAGGAAGGTCATTCAAGAACTCCTAGTCACTCCTCTGCCTCCTCTCCCTCTCCTGCTGTCCTCCTCCCTCCTCTACCTATCGCCTCATCTTCTCGCCCGGCCCCCTTCATGTTCATCCTCGTTCTTCACCTTTACCACTACTCCTCTGCTCTCCTCCTCTCTCTCGCTCCCTCTCTTCTTTCATCTGCTCCTCTCCCTCCTCGTCTTCCTCCTCCTCCCGTGACGGCTGGGCGGTTCTCAGGTCTGCTTCACGGCCATGAACAGCACGAGCAGTCGCTCCCACACCATCTGCATGTTTCGAGTCTCAAGAGACGAGGTCACAGCAGCTGCTGATTCTCCTCCTCCTCCCTCACAGTCTGCAGGAGCGCGAGGACGGCGAGGTCGTGAATCGCAGCGGAATCATAACAATCGTCGACCTGTGCGGATCTGAGCGAGTGAAGAAGAGCGAAGTAAGAAAGGAGGAAAGGGGGGGGGAGGGAGTGCTGGAAAGAAGGAGGAGGAGGAGGATCGAATGACCAGGGCAGCATGGAGAAGAAGGAGGTGGAAGAGGGGGAAACAGAAGGAGCAGGAGCAGGAGCAGGAGCAGGAGCAGGAGGGTGTTTGGAGTGACAGGTTGGTTAGGTGGACGGCAGCCGTCTCAAGGAAGCGATCAACATCAACGCTTCTCTCAGCTCCCTCAAGACTGTCCTGACTGCCATCGGAGACTCCGCAGGAATTCTCTCCCTCCTCCTCGCCTTCCCCCCTCCTCATCCCACCTCCCCTTCCATTCCCCCAGCTCTACTCGACTCTCTCCACCTCCACTTCCTCCATCTTCCGTCCCTTCTCCCTCCTCTCCCTCCTCTCCCAGCTCTCTTCCTGTCTCTCTCTCTCCGCCCTCCCCCCCTCCTCCCTCCCTCCTCGTCTGGTCGAGACCTGAAGCCGCGTGCAGGTCATGTTCCCTACCGGTCGAGCAAGTTGACGTGGCTGCTGAAAGATTGCATCGGAGGAAACGCGAGGGTGAGGAGGAGGAGGAGGAGGAGGAGAAAACAAAGAGAGAGGAGGGGGATGAGGAGGGAGGCAGGGAGGAAGAGCACGCGTCTGAGGGCAAGACGTCAGGTGATCATCATCGCACACGTCAACCCCTGCTGTCTCCACCACTGGGAGACTCTGTCGACCCTCCGATTCGTGTCGATGGTGAAGACTGTCAAGACCTACTCGTCCAAGAACACGCACGTGAAGACGAAGGCAGAGATGCAGGTGAGCAGGGGGAAGAGGGGGGGGGGGGAGGGGGAGAGGAGGAGGAGGAGGAGGAGGACGGGACGGGGAGGGGGGAAGGGGGAGGGAGGAGA